TGTGTCTACCTCACCAAACAGCTTGGTGTCATCGGCAAACTTGCTGAGGGTGCACTCGACCCCACTGCCCATGTCCACAACAAAGATGTTGAACAGTACAGGTCCCAGTACTGACCCCTGAGGAACGCCACTCGTCACTTCTCTCCACTTGGACATTGAGCCATTGACCGCAACTCTTTGAGTGCGACCGTCCAGCCAGTTCTTTATCCACCAAGTGGTCCATTTGTCTAATCCACGTCTCTTCAATTTAGAGACCAGGATATCGTGTGGGACGGTGTCAAACGCTTTGCACAAGTCCAGGTAGATGACATCTGTTGATCTTCCCATGTCCACTGCCGCTGTAACCCCTTCGTAGAAGGCCACCAAATTTGTCAGGCAAAACTTGCCCTTGGTGAAGCCATGCTGGCTGTCACCAATCGCCTCTTTGTTATCTATGTGCCTCAGCAGAGTTTCCAGGAGGATCTGCTCCATGATCTTACCAGGCACAGGGGTGAGACTGACTGGCCTGTAGTTCCCCAGTGATGAGATTAAATTGTCTGTTTACCCTATTTTAGGGTCTGATGTGTGTGATTTTGTGTAGGTGAGCCATTGACCTTAATGGGTAAAGCTCCAATGCATTCTGAAACAGCCAACATTTTGGTCTGTTAATCCAGGGTAGACTGATTCATTATTTTAGGCCTGTACTTTGTATGCTTATGTTGAACTTGCTTCATTTTAATTATACCTTATTTTGAACATCAGCTGTGGGTATGAAATGAGATTAGCTGACTCAAAAATGAGAGTGGATTTTAAAAAATGAAATATCATAGAGTGGTTAGAGTTGGAAGGGACCTTAAAAATCATCTAGGTCCAACCCCTCCTGCCATGGCCACAGACACCTTCCACTAGACTAGGTTGCTCAAAGCCCCATCCAACCTGGCCTTGAACACTTCCAGGGATGGGGCATCCACAACTTCTATAGGCAACCTGTTCCAGTGTCTCAGCACGCTCACAGTAAATAATTTTATCGTAATATCTAATCTAAATCTACCTCATCCACAGCTGGATACAATACTCCAGGTGGGGTCTAATGAGGGCGAAGTAGAGAGGCAGAATCACATCCCTCAACCTGCTGGCCACGCTGCTTTTAATGCAGCCCAGGGTGCTGTTGGCTTTCTGGGCTGCGAGCACACGTTCCCAGCTCATGTTAAGCTTCTCATCCACCAACACCCCCAAGTCCTTCTCCTCAGGGCTGCTCTTGATTCATTCTCCGCCCACCCTGTATTTGTGCTTGGGATTGACCTGACCCACGTGCAGGACCTTGCACTTGGCCTTGTTGAACTTCATGAGGTTTGCATGGGCCCACCTCCAACCTGTCCAGATCCCTCTGGATGGCATCCCTTCCCTCCAGTGTGTTGTCAACTCCACACAGCTTGGTGTCATCAGCAAACTTGCTGGGGCTGTGCTCAATCCCTCTGTCCATGTCGCCAACAAAGATGTTGAAGAGCACTGGTCCCACTACCGACCCCTGAGGAATGCCACTTGTCACTGTAACACAGTGTTCCTTAATTATAATTTGGGCTTACTGCTGTGCTCTTCAAATGGAGCAACTTAGTTGTAGAAGTGCAAATAAATTGAAAATAATGATTCTCTCATCCTTTAATGAAGAGAGGTTTTTCTTTACATTTCTCTGAAGGGAGGGACATGTGTCTATGTGCATGTGTGTGAGCTCTGGAGAAGAGGATTGTGCCTGATTTTGTCTTATGGCAAAGTTATAAAAATTAAAGACTTTGACAGAGATCAGAGATTTCATCAGCATCCTTGTAGAGAAATCTGCAGCCTGAGACCAGGCTTTTTGAGTCATCAAAGAAGCTGTGTGAGCATTTACTTTCAGAATATAAGCCATGGGATCAGACCACGTTAGCTTTAATTGTCTCTAGATTGAGACCCTTAGCTTCCTCCGTTTAAGCACCAAAAGTGGTTTTAAATATTATGATTTTCACAACAAATGTCAGTTTTCAAATTCCACATGCTGTTGCAGAACTGTTCCCTTTCCTTGTCATTATTCCAGTCATGTATATTTACAATGGCTTATCTTAAAATAACACTGATGTAAAGCACCCAATGTATTTCACAGTCATCAGGTACGTAACTGGATTAGTGGAACGAAGGATGGAGACAAGATCAAAAAGCTAGATTTTTCTTCCTTTTGAAATCAACGAGGTTTTTGAATTTTACTTCATTAAAAATCTATTGCCTTCTTCTGAGTGTCTTGGAATAATCAAACTTTTGTGTTGAATTTGAACACTTTGAATGTAATTTTACTGTCTGTGTGCAAAAGTGAAGCAGAGAGGTGCTCTTTCAGGTGCAGCAAATTCCTTCCTTTTGACTTGTGAGTTCTGGATGTAGACCTGATTCATATGCTACTGCATGAACCCATTACTTAAGTGAGGGCAGTGTCTGTGAATTCAGGGCATTTCCAGTCACTTTAAAGCCTCAAGATGGAGCATTCATCAGAAGATGGTGCCCATGCATCATATACTTTATAACTTATGAAATGGGTTGGTAATTATGCCCAGCACTTGTACGTGGCTTTTTTCTGCTCTTTGCAGTCTTACTGTTTTCCTCCACATCCCAGTAACTGATGGAAAATATTTCCACATGTGAAAAAGTCAGGACAGAATTTAGCCTTTACTTTCAAAGAAATAGTGTTGAAGGTTAGTGTGAGCTGAAGGTGAAGGGCTTTTGCTGTTTGCTTTTTTTCTTACTTGACACTTATTAATGCTGGTTCTCTTCTAGAAAGCAGGTGATGAAGTGGACGTAATACTGCTGGGCAACAAGTGTGATAAGGAGTCAGAACGTGTAGTTCCAAAGCAGAGAGGAGAAAAGGTATCGTTGGTACTTTCTTTGGGTTCTCTTGAGTATCTTGGTATGTGACTGTGAGCTGTTACACTGGAAATTATAAAAAGCTCCTGAATTCCAAAAATTGCTCCAGAAAAACAGTTGTGGAGTTCTGGGGTGTTGTTTGCTTTTTTTTTTAACATATGAGCATGATGAGTACATTAAGCAACTCCTAGGTGATCTCTTGAGAGTACTGACTTTTATTTTAAAAGATAAAATGTACTTTAAAAGTTCTAGGTGTTATGATAGAAATCTTATCTTTTGAATTAAATCTAAAAATATTTTAGAGTCTGCATTTTCAGAGTACTGTTTTAATGTGGAATATTAAAATATAATGCATAATTTTTCTGGTACCACCCAGCAATGATATTTTTCCTACAGCCTGACTATGAAGAACTATTCTGGCAACCTGTGCAGAGCGATCTGCATTGTCTGTGAATAGCCCTAAATAACACTGGTCAGATAGATTTAGGGAACATCCAGCTCCTCTAGATCTAACTGTATATGTGTTGTACAGCTGAAATTACAGTATAGTTTATACCTGCTGACTGTGTGTAGGGGAAGAACTGGTGTTAAGTGGGGAGTGCTGTTTTAAAGGCGCTGGCAAATTACTCTCACTGAGAACCAATGAGGAAATCCAGGAGCCATGCTATGGCAGAAGAAATTGTGATAATGACTTAAATGTCGCAGGAGAGCTTATCCTATATACCAGTAAATTTTGCAACTGCAAACTGCACGCATCTTTTAGCTGGAACTTGGAATGTGCCTTTCTATTATGCTTCAGGCATGGTGAGTCAGGCGGGATGTCTTGTGTTTGAAGAGAAGAACACTGATTATCTTGCCCATTATATAATCCCAGATTAGGGAACTTTAAAAAATAGCATCACGTTTTCAACAGCATTACAAATAGAAACACTTGAAAGTTCATTGTTCATATGGAAGACACTTTTTAATTACTGTATCTGTATACAAGGAATGAGGTTGCTGAGAAATACATGTATACTCTCACTCAAAGAATGCAGTTAGAAATCTAGAGAGTCACTGGATGCATGTGCACAAGAGGGCAGTAGTTGGGTTTTGCATATGGTATTAACCATGACATTTTCTGACTTCTGTGTACTTAACCATGCAACTAAAATTTCTCTTAATGTAGTATTTTTTTCAGAAACAAATCATTACCTCCTCATCAATGAGTCTGCTTTTCAGATTACTCCTGTGTTTTGAGGCCAAGCAACTCTTCAGTTATACTAGTTCTTCTTTTAATGTGATTTTCAAACGCTAAAGAATCTGACTGCGCCAGCTGGAGAAAGGTTCCATTAGCATAGAGAGAGCTAATATTGTCCTCTCACTCCAAAGAAGCAAATACCCTTATTGAGGGGAAAATTGTTTGATACTAACTCTGCCACATAATAATTCATCCTTACCTATTTCGTATTACCCTGTGAGTATGAGCTGTAAGTGTTGTTCTGTTCAGAGTCTTACAGAGAAGACCCCTAGATTCCCTGGGAATCTTACCATGTATGTTGGCATTTCTGTAGCAGTCTGGCATAACTGAGTGGCCATCATATGCCACTTTTTTCTTTTTTTTAATTACATAATTTTGATCATGCAGAAATTGATATATTTAATTTTAATACTACTATTTTCTTGTATTAATAGATTTTTATTCACTTTGTGAAAAGTTTGAACTCAACTTTCTTGGGCTCCTCCATTCTTCTCCTTCCCCGCCCCACCCCAATAACATTATCTCTTTTTCTGAAAAATAAGTAAAGGTTTCGAAAGTTATATGACTTGGTAGAGTGTGGCTGGTTTTCTCCTATCAAATCTTTTTTAACAGAAAGAGCCAACTAAAATAGTCTTCCTTGGTTTTGCTTTTGCTGTCTTCATGTGCCTGACTTCAAAGCTGCTTTTACAGGTACAATACAAATGAAATAAAAATCTGCAGAGTTCCGGGAATATTTTAGACACATCTCTCAGATTTAACACTAAGAAATCATAGCAGCGCTTTGCTAGGAAATACTGTTTTTTGAGTTAAAACAAATGAAAAATTGGAATTAAATTTCACCTTGAAAGAGATATTGGCATTACTTATTTTGCTATTGTAAGTAAGATATGAGCTCATTTCACTCAAGATCTTCAAACTATTCTCAAGAATAATATAAAATAACATCTCCCAGTATCATCACTCCCATAGGTTTGTAAATGTATTTAGGTATTCTATTTATGAATCTATTGAAGATGCTCCCAAAAGAAAAAAAAAAGTAATTCTTTGAATGTGCCTTTCCAGTTTCTTTATGAGAGGTAGTAGCCAAAGCTGTGTTTATACTTACAACTGCTTTAACACAGGACTGTTGGGTTTTTTCCCATCTAGCTACATTTTTAGAGTACTAAGGAGCAGTTACTGGTCTACAGCAATTGAAGTGTAGTTAGAGGAATGACAGAAATAGGCTCTTCTCAAGTAGAGGCAGACAATAAAGAAGGGGGCAGCAGACACAAGTCCTGGCTCGGGAGGTTCAGGTTGCAGATAAGGAGAACCAGTTGCACTAGAAAGGGTGATGGAGGAGGGTCCCATACAGGTCATAGAATCTCCATCACTGGCGGATTTCAAGACTCAGGTAGGCAAAGCCATGGCTGACCCCACATCATATGGGCAGTAGTTCCATTTCAAGCGTGGTTATATTTCCAAGTTATTTCTGCGATTCCATGATTAAAATGGTTTGTGTTCATCAGAGTTTGTACGTAGGTAGCCTCTAGGAATTTGTTACATGACACAAGAAAGAGAAAAGGAACATTTAATAGTAGATTCTGTGTACTTTATAAGCTGCAAACCAGCCTTCTCCACTTCATTACCCCAGCATTTTTTATTGCCTGTATTTTTCTTTATGAACCATTACGTGTCATTGCTTTGCATTGACACTTGCAAATAGTCAAATGATCTTAACTTTCTGTAACAAGTTGCTGCCATACTGAAAACAGTTCATAGCAGTCAGCTGGAGTTTTAGAATCCCTTGTGAAGCAGTCTGTCTTAAGAAACAGTCCAGATCTCATGTTTATTTTCAAAATTACATTTTCTTATAGCATTTTGGAAAAGAAACCATTTTGCTTACCTTTACTTTCTACCTTTAATATCTCTATTGTATTTTGACTAAAACTTTGAAGTCCAATTCTTGTACTGTCATGCCTGATTTTGGAATTTTTGTCAAGCATTGATGCGTTACTTCTAGAGGTCATTGAAAGCAAACATAACTTCCAACATTAAACTTTGTATCCTAGTGGAGAGCCTTCCAAATAAATCATTAAGTGGTCAGTAATTATAGGATTTTCTATATGTTATAAGCAGTAGGGTATTTTCTTTGCCTGGGATCATCTTCTCCCGATGTGTGCCGAGAAGGGATTGATTGCAAAGGGAATAAATAGACTCTGCCACTGTGTTTTTTCTGGCAGATATTATTCCCACTTGGCCCCCTCCCTTGGAATGCAACAGTGCAACTTTCTTTTTCTCCATGTATTTAACTGTATAAATTAGAAAAAGTTTAGGACCTTAAAAAGCTATGAATTTTGTTGTTGGGTTTGTTTTTTTTTCCTTCATGCCATCATATCTCAAAGCTATCTATAAGGGAAATACACTGGAAATGAGAGAACATGAGTAAATTCAATAAAATAACCAATGTAAAGTCTATGCTGCCGTTTTCTTCTAAGTATTTTTTCTCTTCTCCTATTATCATAATACATTTTCGCATACATATCTGTTCTTTGCTTGCCCATTATCTCTGTGTTTCTCTCTCTCTGGTAAAAAGGAGCATCTCTTTTTATATTTCATCATGCCTATTTTTCTAGAGGTTTTGTCACATTTTAATCTATACCTTTCTGCAGGCACTCCATTAGTTTCCTCTAAATAATTGCCTAGGAGACAGTTCATTTTCCAAATAAATCAAAACACTGAGAACAGACCCACTAGAGTTTATTCTTCTGATTTACAAGTAAAGATAGGTTTAAAAAGCTGTTTTGAAAATGTAAAAATTTAAGAAGAATGTTTTAAGAGTTACCTGAAATTTATAAACTAAGGATGAGTATAGAGTACTGAGCTGACATTTACTTAATCAGTGTTTATATAGCGTGTTAGAAGCTGTCAGAACACCTCCGTATCTCTTGCTATTAGTATTAGAAAGTGGTTTTTTTCCTAAAGACTGTTCATCCCATTGCCTACATTTGTTTTTCAGCTTGCTTGGGAACATGGAATACCCTTTTTTGAAACCAGTGCTAAAGATAACGTGAACATTGAGGATGCATTCTCAATCTTGACTAAGGAAATACTGGAGAAGGTAGGCTCCTTTTCTGAGTAGAAAGAAAACGGAAGATTTTTCTTGACAAACTGGGTAAACAAAGTTGTAAATACAGCAGAGGTTTAGCAAAGGACAGCCTAGGTTTTGCATTATGGAGTTAATATTTTAGGGGGATCCTGTAGCTGTAGACATAGAGAGGAGGAATGTGGAGGAGAAGAATTGTGAGAGAAGAGAACAACAGAAGAGGGGAGCAGGTAAAGTACAGTTCAGAGGGAGGGTGAAAATTCAGGAAAATGGCATTTGTGGCTTTCCTTACCATGCTTTTCTTCAAGGAGAGGTCATCTGCTCCAGAGTAGTTCCACTTCTGTGCCAGGTAGACTCCTTTTTGCTGTAGGTTTCTGCAGAATATGCATACTCTGAAGATGCTACATGCTGACGGAATGAGTGGACCTTTTATGTTCAGCAATCAAATGTTTTATGCAAAGTTCACAGCTGTTTATTTGGATGATTTACGCTAGTGCTTTTGAAGCTAACAGGACCTAAAGATTTGAGTTAATTAGTGGTAGAATCAATATTGTAGCTGTCAGAATCAGCATCTCTAACTACCTAGAGTGTGTTGGCTTAAAGGTCCTTACTCCTCAGAGTTGCAATACTTTTGTAGGACTGAATTATTGTTAATTAGCTCTGAAAATATTTTGCATCGCAATTTATTTTTAGACAGTAGAATATTATTTTAGACATTAATGGATGTTCTTCATGCAATGCATTATCATTGCCATTCATCACCAATATTAGTTATACAAAACTAGCCTTCCATTCCGAATACTCTTGAAGTCATAATAAAGATAAATGAGCAAAATTACAGACAGTCACAAGTTGCAGTGTTTTGATTAAGTAGCCATAGGGGATGGTCAGAATAATAGCTCAGGCTTGGACTGCTTCTAAATCAAGGTCCTGTCATATTATACAATAACAAAAGTTGGTTATTTTGGGGGAGGGAAAAAAAAAAAAGCTTTTGATTCCTTTAGCGTGAAAATGAAGCTCAACAACTCCACAGTCAAATATAATTTAGAACAGGAGGATAATGGCTGGTCCTTGAATAGCTGGCAAAACATCTCAAATAAGATAACTGATTTTCCTGTAAATGAAAAAGACATTGGCTACTGTAAATAAAAAATGTATTTGTTAGTATGAAGCATGAAAACTACAAAACAACAGCTATGATCATAACTGCTACAAAGACAAACGTGTGAAGCGAGCATTTCTGCACAGTGCCTTTGGGTAAGATCTGAGATAATTCTCTGCAGTGTACAGAAATGATGTTTGGGAGTTTCTCACTTTAAGATTGCTTGCACTTATTTTACTTTAAGTGGAACTTTAGTATTCCTGCTTATCTTCATGAAAATTCATGGGTTTTGCCGTGTGGACATGCAAACAAATTCAGACCATGTTGAAAATGCTATACCACTGCATGGCTTTAATTAGAACTGCTTGAGAATATAGTTGTACACTCTGCATCCATGTATGTGTTTGGAAAATATGTCCATGAGAATTTGTCAAGTTTGTCTGTAGTAACATTTCACCTTATCTTGAAATTTTTGCAATCCCTGATGGGGCATCACGTGCCATTACTTTGGTGTATAATTTGCCATTTTTAGTGAAATACATTTGTTGATCTAAACAAGCGCTCCTTTAGCCCAAGTGGTTTTGCCACTAGCCTGATAGGAGAGAGTTCACAGTAAAAAAAAAGAAATCTACCATACAGTTTCACCATGGTTTTCAGGTTCAACAAAATAATTTGCCTGTTCACAAAACTGTGAAATCTGAATGTAGTACTGTAATTTTAACTCCCTCTAACTGATGAAATTTTGGAGAAGGGAAATGCAGTAGGAAGTGTGACTAGTAGCTGTGAAAAATGACATGATAGGTGCCAGTCTGAGATCACTTCAGTCATACATCCATCCTGTAGTGGTAAAATATGTACTTGCTGATTGTAAAAAGGAGATGCAGCTTTGCGCAAGTGTTTTGGCCCAAGACATCTATGTCTGAGGTAGCAGGATATAGGGCCTCGCTTACTTCTGCAGTAGGACCACCTGTGCCATGCTGATGAGATGCTTCAGCGGAAGCATGCCATTGCTTTACTGGTCCCATAGAGGAAACTTGCCTTAAGGAACTCCCTAGAAAAGTCTGTTATGGCCATGCATTTCAGAAATATGTGGAGGTCATAGTTTATTTTACAGAAGTAACATAGATAGGCAGGGCAGGCTAGCAGGCAGTAGACCATTTTCAGATGCATTGCAGTACGCTGTATTAATCTGAGGAAATCTAGGATTTTTTATATACACTCTTGTTCACCATCTACGACAGGCTTTTCTTTTCTAAATCTACAGAAAACACTCCTGTAGATGGGGAAGATCAATGTCTGGAGTTACAGAGCTCATACAACAGTAATGAGCTCCTTGATTCTCTTGAAATTTAGAACAAGTTGTGGTTCAGTGGAGGACTGGGGAAAAAAAACCAACCCACATTAAAACGTGGCAGACAAAAAGAAAAAAGGAGCAAGTTTGTATCGTCATTATTTTGTGCGGCATTTTCTTATCTCTTCTTTTGTGGTTTTACTTGTAGTGGGCTTAAGGGAGAGAGAAGGCTGCTGTATCCCAGTGATTCAGATAACTAAAGCGCTGCTTTACCTTTCATATATTTATCATCTCAGCCATTCTATGCTGGGTCTCAATCCTACAGCTGTGATTTACATAGGTAGTCTCATTAAAACAATCAGATGTTATTTGACAGCTTACATTGGTGACAGCTAAGGAATCATGCTGTATTTTTGAGAACTCACAATTTTCAAACCATTAATAATAACTGATTTGATTGTATTCGAAAGGCTGCAGTGGAAGTGAATGTTAATGACACAGCTTATTCCACAGGTTTGCTTAGACATATTGACAAATAACAACAGTATTTTATTTATTCACGGTTCTTATGAGCCTCAGATATGCCTAAACCTGTTCATTAATAGATGGCAGCTGTTCTTTAACAATGCCTCTGGCTGCTGGTGAACTATTTGTACTTGTGAGTCAGTCCTCAAAAAACAACCAAAACCAGAAAAATGCCACCCAGAATGCAGTTAGTATTTGCAGTTTTGTGGTGTTTGGTTTCATGGCTGACAAACAGTACTCTTCTCAACTAGCTTTTTTAAAAAAAATATTACAAGCCTTTGTATTTCTGTCTTTGTGGGTATGGTGGTTGGTATTTTTCTAAACTAGGAGCAGAATGAGGGAAACTGTATTCAACAAAAAGAAAAAAAAAAGTTTTTTCCCTTCTCTGAAGACTGCAATAAAACTAACCAAAACGTATGTTGTGTCTACCTCCCAAGAGTGACTACTAAGATTGTTTTAATATCATGTTAAATAAACATGTATCTGCTGAGCAGAGAATAGTCAAAATCCATTTAAGAGTTTTCCCTGTGCTGTTGAGAGTAACAGTTAATGTCTAACAGCTGGATGTCATTTGAAATGAACATTCAGAAGTAGCAGGCATGAATTCTGTCCTTCCTTGATCTCTTTACCTTCCTCTCCTATGGCAACAAGATTTTTGAGATTACACTATGTGTCCAATTCTTTGGCTCCTAAATTACCTTTGGAACTTGCTAGCTGATTTTAAGCAAATTTGACAGGTCAAACCAAAGATTATTAAGCTCCCAAGGAGTTCATTCAAAGTAAGGTGCTGGGTGGAGGAGAGGCAGAGTACTCTGCAGAAGGAAAGTCTCCAGCATTAGTTCATACGGTATTACACAGAGAGACTGAAAAATGCTTCGATCAATCACTCCAGCTGGAGCTTTCATTGTAGATAGCCAGTTTAGTTCACTGCAAGACCCAAATCCATAGGAAATCAGATTTTGTTACTGCCAAGGTTCATGGAATTGTTAGTTTGTCCAAAAGATCCCTGTCTCCAGCAGTGCACATTCAGTGTCTCTTTATTATCCTCAATCATGCATGGAGCCACAGGCTTTATTTGCCCTTTATTTATCTTGTACTGACCACAGAATATTAATTTATCTGTGAGGCTTTTCATAATGCTCGGAATGCTGTATTTTAGATCTATTTTAGATTTTTATCTTCATAACCTTCTAAGTAACGTTAGGTAGTATATTCAGCATTGCACAAATGGGAACCGAGGTACAGAGGTTAAAACAAAGAGGATAAATGGTACCAACTCAGTGCTGGTGCACTGTAGGGCATAATTTTACTACACTATCTTGTTTAATTTGAAAAAAAAAAAAAAAAGTCCGTTCTGGACATTGAATGAGCCAGATATTCTTCTGGAAACAGTAGCATATAATTAGGACATGTAAATCAAAACTTAATCATAACATTTGAGTATCAGGGATGAGATTCATCTTAGTGTGCAGTCTTAGCCAGCTAAAATTTACAGGACTGGTCTGGTGTGGTTGGAATCATCTCTATTCAATGAAGACATGCATCTTTTTAGGATAAAATTGTGTTCCGGAGATGCCCTTTTCTGTTGATTACAGAGGACTCCAAATCTCAGCTTATATGGTTTCATATGGTTAAAATTAAATACATTTAACTCCAGGAGACCAAAGGAATGTTACACACTTGACTGAGTTCTGGCATTTGATGCTTCCACAAGATCTTGACTTTGGCCAGATTGCTCTCTTAAATAGGGTTTTTAACGTGCAACTGTATTAATCTTTACCTACACAATCTGTAGGCTTGAGGAACCTTAGAGTAACAGCGCAGCTGTCTTCTCAAGTTTTTGAAATAACTAATTGCAGTACAATATTGTTATAGTCTACATGGCATTAACAGAAGAGGGAGATAGAGACCCACACTTTGCCAGTGGGTTAGATGTTTTAGATATTGTGGAATAGCAGGCTTTGGGAGCAAGGACTTCATCCCCATTTCTTGAGGAAGGTGTTCTGCAGCAGTTAGATCCTGCCGTGCCTGGCCCCAAATCCTCTCCTGGTCCTCTCCCTGCCCCCCTCGTGGTCGCATTCCCTGCTAATATATCCCTAGCTCTTGCTTGATATGGCTTGTGTCCTGTCCCATTCATTCCTGTTGTGAGAGGACTGTGTTGCATTTTGAACAAGTAATTTGAATTACGGAATAAAGGGAAAATACACATCAAGAAAATGGCCAGATTGATCTTAATAACTGAGTTCTCTCCCCTGGCAGTTCAGGTACAGAAACATGAACTTGGTTGCATGAAGTTGTCTGCCATGCTTTGCCAGTCTTTGTCAACTATCACTGTTAAATATAAACAAAATGATTGCAGTGATTAAGTATGATAATTTTGTCATTAGAGATAATATAAATCCTCAGAATTTAAAGAGGTTATAAATAATGGTAATGTCAGTTACAGTCCCTTCTGCTTGTTTCTCTAAAGCTGTTAGTTTTCCCGGAAGCACTCCAGGTCTGACTTTGCCTGGGGACATTGAAATGGATAGAGTAAAATCTTGTCATTCTTCCAAACCCATAGTGAACCCTATCTCCAAATTAACTGAAACAGTATTGAAATACCAAGAACTGATTCTGGAGTAGGTGACTCTGACTTGGTATGGCACTGCTCATCTGAGCAGTTTTTCAGCAAGGAACGGGCAGCTGATCTTAATGAAGATTTGTAATTTACTCCATTAGAAGCCTTTCAAAGAGTTTGTCTTACTTTTTAGTAATTCCAGCTTAGCTTTCTTTTCCTGATTTAAAAAAAAAAAAAAAAAGTCAAGCCAAAAACATTTAGGATCTCATCCATCTCATCACAATTCCTGTGTCTAGAAGTTAGGCATCTATTGCACGCCAGTGATACAAACTCTGCCTAGAGCAGGGGAGGAGAGACAGCCTGGAGGGGAGACAGCAGGGAACTTAAAACTAGCTTGAACAGATGCCCACCTGTTAGGTGAGACATCTCTGCTGTGCTATTTAACAGGAAAAACTAGTATTTGATAGCAGGAAGTTTCAATGTCTTACTAAAATCACTGCAGGGTAGAGCAGCATCTGTGTCTGTGGCAGTATTTTCAAAACCCCACTTTGCCCACGATACCAAAGTGGAAACTTGAGCTTCATGGTACCATTTTGGTTCTTCTCACCTTTTCACAGTTTTCTGCTGTTTGTTGGCTGGCTTGTCAGGGAGACAGTTCCAGCAGGCTGAGCTGAAATGTGAGCTGGAAGCGTTTGTGTTCAGGAAGCCCTGAAGAAGGAATGCTGCCTGCTTTGTTCTCACAGGTGGGAGAGATTTGCATACCTCCCTGCTGTAATTTCAGGAGGGGAGGGTGCCCCACCTCTTCCAAGGCTCGGCTGATGTTGAGCACTACGTGGGATTGCCTGATTGTTGCTTTAGCGCTTTATGCAGGGCTTGTTGTATCTCTTCAGGTTATGAACGTGCACTTTTTAAATGGGCGTAGAGCGCATTTACTTAAATGAATTCCAGGCCTTTATTTGTTTGATGAAGATCCTGTATGGAATAGTCTTATCAAACTGAAGTGATTCTTAAAGTCCTCAACTTTTAAATGGCTTTTAAAACAAAATATTACCTCTTCTTTATTTGTGGAGGGGTGGTTCTTGTTTTTCTGTCCTGGCTAATTTGTTGATGAACTACTATCAGATAATGATTTTACAGATTATAGGAACCATTTCATTGTCAAAGAGGTTTCAGCATTCTTAATCACTTATAGTACTAACGATCCTTGATGTACTTATACATGAACAGCTTACTTGCCACCCAAAAGTACTATTAAATAGTAAATTATTTGCAAATAAGCATCTTCAGTGTTTAAGGAACATGCAAGTTTCTCCCCTCTAACTGAAAGCATGAAGTTAAATAGAACCTCCAACACTTTCAAATTACCTGTTTCCTCTAAAGTTAACTGAAACCCAAATTCTGAAATTGTTGAAACAGGGATTTTTCTAGAACTCTTTTACTACTTAAACTGAATATTTTTCTTCTGAAGAAAAAGCAGAGGTGAGTGAAATAAAACCTACTTAGTTTATGTCCACAATAATCAATGCTCAGTGTTATTTCTTGGTCTCAATAGAGTGAATTTCAATTTCTTATTGTACCATAATCTTCCAAAGCTTCCCCCTGCCGAATCTTATCTCTAAACCAGAGTGATGCCTTGTTCCTTGAGAGGACAAGGTTATGGTTGTGCACTTTTGAGTCTGCTTTGCTTCCTCTTTTAGAACAGGTCTTCATACTTTACATTTACTGTTTACGCTTGAAGACTATGAAAATACTATCTCCACCTAGCACAAATCGTAATGGCTAATGCCTGTACTCAAGCACCTTACACAGCTGTGTAAAAAATTAAAAAAAATCAGAAGCTATGAGACTGCCTGTTGGAATTTGTGAGAACTCTCAAGGGTAATAAAAATGTTATGTCTGTTGGTACTTGTCACTCCAACAAAAAAAACAAGTAAAAGTGCACATGCTGTATTTCTTCATGCATGATTTATATGTGACTAATGACAAGTAATTCCTCAAATCAGTAAGTCACAGTCTTCCAGTACCCTAGAATCAGAACAATAAGTGTTAATTTTATTGATGACAGCTTCAGCATCCATCCTGAGGTTTAGCCACTACGATACCTTTCCCGCCCTCTGCTCCTTCCTCTATCCATCACTTCTGATCCCTTCCCAGGTATTTCATCTTCTCCCCCAGCAGCGTGCACTGTGGAAGCCTCCCTGGGTCCCTGCAGCCCCAGGGAGGAACAGGCTCAGCCACCCTCTTTGTGAGGATGGACCTGGCACAGAGCAGCCAACGTACTGGAAGAGCTAAAACTATGGCTACAGAAGGAAAAAGGAAACAATGTTATGTGTCTTTTCCAGAATTTTAGGTAGTGTTAACTATTCTCAGCCAAAGAGGCGTAAGGCTTGTTGTAACATGGGGGAACCTTTTATTTTCCCCTCATTTTGATTCATGTGAGTAATTTTAGGTGAACCTTTCTGGATGTAGTCAATGTTCAACTCTCCTGTGACATTGTACGTGTCAAGTTCTTTATTCTGAATCATTATTAGCATTGTACTACATGACACCTTTCTCCTCTTCCTTTTTTTTCCTGTGCTTTGAATTTCATGAGTTCCAGCTTACATAGCTGTCCTTTCTGGAAACTTCTCTTTATTGTCAGAAATGATGGTTTATGGCTCTTGGGTTTGAGTTGAGAGAGGAATGCGGTGAATCCAGTGGTTGCGCTTGCTTCTCTGTGTATCATTACATACTTGGTAAACCTGCCAAGAAGCAGGCAGGAGAATGGCAAGTAGAGAAGCTAGGACGTTTTTTTTCCTAGGCTTGTGACAATATTCTCTACTTCTTTGTGCCTGAGTTCCGGGTTCAGCGTTCATAGTTTTAGAGTGCAAGATTGCAACATGTGCTCGTACTGTATTGCACAACTGGGTTTGATTGTTTCTCTGGTCAGCACTAATTATCTAGTTGAGTTTATTGCTGAAAGGAAGAGTCCTGGTTTTGCTGATTTTTTTTTTATCTGCTTTTGCAATCAGTACATAAATGTTTTACAAGGGTGGAGTGCTGTTTTGATAGTTTATCTTGATAAAACCTGAGTTGTTTCCATTTAGGGGTATTCCTGCTTATTAAATAAAGGCCAGAAAATAGAGAATTTTAGTGAATTTCGCAAAACAAGTTAATGTCCTGTATAAAAGCCTGTGCTTTTTTTTTTTTTTGAATGGCTACTGATGTTCTATATTTCCTTGTTCCTTTCAACTGGATTTTTGCACCCCATGCTCAATACTTCAAAGATTAATGTACTTAACTGCAAATTAGTGAAAATTGGTATAGTCAACAGAAGAACCTGTACAGCTAGAACAATTCATGTCAGTAAAGATTTACAGGATCAGTTCATATGGTTTGTAGTGTCTCCTCAAAAGACACTTTCTATCATCTGTCACCTTCAGAGTTAAGAGAGATGTTTGAGGCAGCTAAAGAATGCAAATATACCAAGCTGGGACTTGCATGGGCATCAGTCTCTGTCTAATTTATTAGAAAACTCTAATCTCTTAATAAAATATTCAAAGGAAAAATATATCCAGTGACCCCACCAAATCTTTTACATATTAAAATATGTGAAAATTCAAGCTTTTTGACTGTTGTGTTCTAGTTATCTTAATTAAGTGTTTGCTTTTGTTTGCTTTACAGAAATCCTGTGTATTATATGACTTAGATGTTGTGGCTCTAAATGAAAGTAAGAAGAGAACCTGCTGTGCATTCTGAAATACTGTTTCTTATTCCATTTTCTCTTCAGAAAATATTAACTATTGCAAAGGACCATACAAGATTCTTAAAGTGAGCCTGTAATCCCAAAACACAGTATTTAGACATCCTTTGTATTACACAAACTTTGTTGCCAAATGTTTTTATATGTTTATATTATATTTTCATATTTTTAACGTGAAGTTAAAACAATTATCTGACTTTGGAATTATTAGATACGTCACAGGATGGCTGCATTTGCATACAAATGTTTGCAGAAATGAAATCTAAGTGTAGTAATTTTCTCTTATTAAAAAAAAAAAAAAAAGTAATTTACTTTGACCTTTTTTTTTCTGTGTTATTTATACCAGATTTGTAATGTAGTGAACATTGGACATCATCACACAGGCAGCCTTCTGATACATGAAATCACTTATGCTATCCCCCACATAACATTTCTTTAAGTAGTTGATATTCACTGCAATCCCCTAAGATAATTTCTTGGGAATTTTTGGCTTTGATTCTTTTATGTCCATTTCAGAAACATATGTGTTACTTGAATACCCTTGAACAGGGAGGCTGCAAAGATGAGGGCCGAGAGAAAAGAATAAGCCATATACAAGATCAGTATGTTGCTGAACCTTCCTTAGAAGGCAGAAAACATGGGAAAACAGAATGCACCCAGTAACAATTATCTTGCTCCTATAAACTTGTGTCATTCTATAAAATAATTCATGCAGGTATTAGCAGCATACCTGCATTTTCAAATGTTCCTTTTGTTGTAAATGATTACAATATTAAAAGGGTATGCAGTGCTTGTTTGATATTGTGAGGTATTTATGTTATTTTCTTGAAGCATAAATACATCAGGTATCTGATTCTGCTCATTTAGATCTATTTTTTACTGGTATGTAATATCTTTAGTTTCAGTGGAGGATATCAGGTTTTATTTAAATTTAAATGAGGGCAGAATCAGGATGCCAATTTCTTTTTCTTTAATCAAAAGCAAAAAGAACATAAACCTGCAGGACACGCACAAAGCAAACACAACTTGGGAAATGTGAAGAATTGTGGTGATTATATTGTCTTTTTTTTTTTTTCCTGGGAGATTTGGTTCTTGATGATTATTAAATTTAATTGTTTTATCACCATTTGTGAATGAATAACACTACTGTGCAAAATTGTGTTGTGAGCTATAACTCTAGATAATTAGAATAACTACTAACTCCACTGGCTTATTGTTCTGGAATGTCACTACTCTCCTGAAATATGCCTGCTTCTTTTTTGAGGGCTGTCTACAGATTGTCATAATATCAAATTATTAAATTTGGTATTGAGACAGTGAGCTCAACTGGAAAATGCGTTCTGCAGCACATGGGACCTAATGTGCCTTAAACATACTGCCAGGTTACTGTGCCACTAAGCCATTTATTTTGCTTGCAGAAGGGGTGCGAAAGGATGGGAAGGGCCACATATTTACAGCTGCTCCTGAGACTACTCATGATGGCCAGTCACTTAAGGTGGCCTTTAGAGCAAAATCTGAAAACAAGGAACAAAGGATAATCCCTGTCTTAGTTACAGCCATAGCAGAGGAATAGAACAGTGCTGGAAAGGATTTTGAGAGGCTCTCTAAGTCCTCCTCTTATCTTAGCCTTGGATCAGCTGTCCCTGCTGTGCTGCAGGACGATGTTTAGAGACCTGCAGTGATGGAGATTTCATGGTCTCTTGGCATGGCGTGCAGTCCTTACCTAACTGGTTTGGCAAGCAGGAAGTTTCCTAATACCTAGCCTAACTGCTAGCAGGTTTTCCCTTTCCTCTTGACGTAGGTGAATGCCTCTGCTGGCCCTCTCTCTTCTCTTCAAACCAGAAAACTCCTATCCCTTCTGCCTTCCTTGTAGTTTGGGGTTTTTGAATCCTTTGCCATTTTTGTCTCTCCTCTTGGTATTTTTGAGCTGGTTCTCAGCCATCCTGGAGTGTAGACCTGAAAACTGAGCAGACTATTCCAGTTTAAATAATAATGGCTGGATAGATTTAAATGATTTTTTTCATTATCTTATTTATGATACTCCTATTTATGCATTCCAGCATCAGCATAATGCAAGATAGCCTAGCACTGCTCATGATCCGTAATCTCTTTTCTGAAGAACTGTGGTTTTTTTTATCCTGGTACGTACTCGTGCAGTTGTCTGTTCCTTCAGATGTGTAGAACCTTCTGTTTCTCCTTATTTGGTGGCATTTCAGTTTCTCCAATCTGCCAAGTTCCTTCTGAATTGTAATGCTGTGCTGCAGCATAGTTGGAGGCTCTTTCTGTAGATAAGGTCTCCAAATGAGAATAAGTGTACTCTGTTCAGTCCTCAAAGATGTTGATGAAAAGTACCGAATATTTCTGGATCCAAGGCAGATCTCAGTGAAATCCCATTCAATATATCCTTTCAGCTTAGGACTATTCATTATTTCCAAATAATTTTTATATACTTGTCTAGACCATATATCTTTTTGGTTAATAGCACATTATCCGGCATTATCCTGTGTAACCCTATGATCCTCCCTCTTTCTACCCTATCCACGAAGCCTGTTGCCATCTGGTAGAAGTAGACTAGATCTGGTATTATTTGTTACTGACAAACCCATGCTGTTGCTTCTTATATCTTTGCTTTCCAGATTCTTGCAAATGGTTGGATTACCTTTTGAAATATGTTTTGGGGTTTTTTTAGTAGAAATTCAGCTAACCAGTTTGTAAAGCTCTTTCCTTCCACCCTTTGAGGGAGATGGAGTCCTTTTTGAGTTTTCAGGAACCACACTCATTCTTGGGAGATAATCAGTAGCAGCTCTAACATTGCTTCAACCCTAAGGGAGTTTCATCAGGTCCAGTCTATCCAAAAATCCTTAACTTATCTAAGTATTTTGCAGCCTATTTCTTCATTTTTCTACCCTAACCTCTTACACTTCTGTCAGTGGTGCTAGTAGTGAAATCACATCTGCCTTCTTAAATTGAAGACTGAGGTTAAAAAAGGCATTAAGGATACCAGCATCTCAACATCACCAGTCACTAGGTGACGATTAAATAGATTTCCCCCTGTATGGAATAACAGACCAATTTTTTAATTGGTCTTCTCACTATGCATCTTTCTAACGTTCTTGCTATCTTTTAAATACAATTTTCTAACATTTTGGGACCTTATCTTTCTGGGTTTGTCCATACATAGTCTATAGTGTTGCACAGATTCCCACAGATGGAATTTTTAGAATAAATAAAGGTTAAATAAGGGATTTGACTGGAAAAAACAGGACACCTCTTACAGTGAAATAGAAGATAAAAGGTGAATGTTCACACCAGACCCTCAGATGTCTTTAGAATACCTTGCGTGAGCAAAGGTTGCTTGGATTTTGCCAGTAAGACAGGACTAGTGTTCTCTTTCAAAACATGAGATGCACAGAGATCAGCTGTATCAAATGCATTGTTCTCCTTCCTCTTTCCCCCTCGCCTCAGAGAAAGGTAGGTATTTAGGATCTGATTCTGAAACAATCACCGCATCTCCTGTTGTTTCCCATTGGACTTGTAAATATCTATTATGAAAATCAGGCCTTTGATATAAAGGCAAATCACATGTAGGGAGAAGGAATGCAAATTCATGGGGGTTTTTAAAGAAATACCGACTATGATGGCTTCACACGAAACTTACTGTATAAGGCTCAGGGTTTTCTTTGGTGTATGCATACTGCAGTGTAAAGCATGTTACCAGGTTCATAGGAAAATCAGTTTGTTGTGAACAGCTCCATTTCAAATGTTAGCACAGATATGAACTGATGATGATCGGAAATGCTTTAAAAATCATTTTATTGGCAATGGAATAAATATGTACTAGAGATTTTACAGCCTGCTGCATAAGTGTGTTGAGAATCAGCATGAAAGTCAATTCAAAATGCATTTAAGAATAACTTCAGGAATGATGCTCAGTCCCCATGCCACTGCTTACAGTTTTATGGTGACAATTTGCTGTTGATACGTAAAGACTGTCTCTGAACGCCGCCTTAAAGGCACATAGACAAAAACTAAGGTGCTGTGTAACTGAGGCCCTGGTCCTGAGGTGGACCTGCTCCCGGGGGTTCCTCTCTGGCTTCGTTAGCATTGTGCACCAGTGAGAGACTCTGGTAGGAGATCACACTAAGGGACTAAGGCATTGCTAGACATCAGAGAAATTATATGTAAACTGTTAACTATACATGAGGTGCCGTTAAACCAATAAATCGTCTGAGATTCATATGTGCTGGTGATTTGAATACCCTGTATGTAATATTAGAATGTATTTCAAGGAGGTTGAGCTATAGTACAGTTAGGACATATAACAAAGTCACTCTAAGAGCTCCAGCAAGACATTTAAATACCAGTAAGCTTTATGATATCTCCTTGCCTGGAAATAATGGAATGAAATTTAAATAGTATCTAGAAGTTACATTGTTAAAACATGCATCTTGTTCCAGTAGGATGGGTAAGAGTGGGTTGGGTTTCTGCTGGTTGGAGAGAACACCAACACGGTTATATGAAAGCAGACTTATAAGCTGTAGGACGTCTAAAACCATCTGAAGAATGAAAAAAATCTTTAAAGAAAAATCAGCAGTAACTATTTCTGCGTGAAAGATGGGTTTCTTCCCAGATAGCAGAAGTGCGTGATGTCTGAGAGAAGCATATGCGGCGTATGTCCCCTGGAATTAATAGTGCCCAAGACAGGGTTTAAAAACAATTCTTAACAGATGAGTGCTTCAAGTCCTGGTGAATCCCTGTCTGACCTGATCTGCTTCGCCTTATACACTGCACCCAATAACCTCATCAAACCTGAACAAGTTAAAACCGTACTTTTGCTTTCCGTATTTCAACAATAATGCTGTTAGCTATTATATCACTTTGCACTTCAATAGCTTAATTCGCCTAAGTTGTTCAAAGCATGTGGTGAACTTTGTAAAAGGGAACTACTTTGAAAAAAAAAAATCCAGCGTCAGATTTTTAAAGCTAACTATTCTGGTAGCTAAGATCTAACAGCAGCATGACTGAGTGTAGAGAACGAAGGTTTTTCATAGCGCTGGGAAATCCCTGTGCCAAACTGTGTAGCTAAAGCACGGACACACGTCAGTATGAGGTTCAGACCAACCCGGATCCATTTAAAGCAAGATAACGTGGGTTTTCTGTAACCCTCTGTGCCGACTGGCGTCCACGGCCTTTGTTTCATCTTGGAGAGGACGGATAAAGTCCCAGTCTCTGTTTGCAGCAGAGCAGAACAAGAGCGCGTCTGTCTCAGCCCTGCTCGTGCCCGCGGTGCTGCTGGCACCAGCCGTTCCAGAGGCACGCAGCGGCGGCTGGCCCTTCACCAGGCGCCGGAGGACAGGCGAGCGGCAGGAGAGCTCTTCCCGCAACAGCAGCTCTTCCCCGAGCTTGGCCATCCCCAGCAGTCGCAAAGATAGATCCCGCCAAAGACACAGCCTGGAGAGAGATGTGAGCTGGGGATGTTTTCAGGCGCTTTGCAAATCACTGGAAGGCACTTTTGCATTTCTCGTCAACAGTACAACCTTAGATGTAGCCAAGTTTACTGCGATAAAATAAACAGTTTTGACACAGAAGTGAACAAAATAAACTTAAGCATGGTACAATGCAACCACCCAGGACTGAATTGTTTTTCTGGTTTAATTTCTCAG